CAATTCAGCCGCACGGCACAGAGCGGGAAGGCTCATGCCAACACTGAGCTGGCCAGAAGCCGGCATCGAGCTGCCGCTCTGCTTCAGGGCATCTCCTCCCACCTGCCCCTCCCTACCACGTCCCCGCCACCCCAGTTTGCACAACACATTCCAGCAGCTCCAGGCAAATGGAACTGGGAGTGCTGGGTTCTCTGCAGCACCCCCACAGAAAGCCCAGGCCTCTACCCACATGAGGGGACATCCTCATACCAGGCAGGAAGGGGACTGGGAGCAGCTCCAGCCTAAAGGGAGCGCTCCCCTGCTGTGAGGGCACAGGTCACCCCAGGGGACACGTACCGGTTCTTGTGCTTGGGGGAGCAATGGGGAGTGTTGCTGGGAGAGGACTGCGCGGAGGAAGCTTGATAGTCATCTCTGGCAGCTGCCCCTCCGCTCTGCACCTTCAGCTTCTGCCAGGGGGCCGGGAGGGAAACAAGAGCAGCATGAGGCTTAGATGGAGAAGCCACAGCCAGGCAGCAGAAGCACCAGTCAACTCATTCACACCCTGCTCCCCCCTCCAGCCCTCACCCGCAGCCACCACACTGAGCATCACCCCCAAGGCTGGAACCAAGGGTGACAGACCCTGCTCACGAGGGCCTGTTGTGCACCCGGCCCGGTCTTGGCGCCAGTGCCCCAGGCCACCTTGGCTGAGCTCAGCTACCCAGAGCACTTGAAGGACAAGACAGAAGCTGGGGCTAACAGCCACATCATGAAGGTGGCTTTAGCACGGTCAGGCCCCCGGCACCGGCCCAGGGAGGGGAAGGCGGCAGGGAAGCCACAGTGCAGCAGGGCTGCCTAGCATTGCTCAGGACCCCCAGCCCTTCGGGCTTCAGGCACTTGCCCCCCCAACCCTAAGCCTGCCTTTAGTGGGGCTGGAGCTGCTGAAGAGCAGCGAGCCATGCCCCCAGGAAGGATCTAGGGGCTTCCTTGGACCCTGAGCTGCCAGCATGCAATTTGCCAAGAAGCCACAGCGCTGTCCCCTTTACTCCAGTGCAAGCTGCAGTCCCACACCCATAGGGGAGCTCACTGTCCCGCCCCAGCAAACAGGGAAGAGCAGGGCCACCAGGGAGGGCTGTGACCCGAGTCCCGGGCCGTCCCCTGCTGCCATGGCAGCCAATTCAACAAAGCCGACAGCTGGGCAGTTCTGGTGGAAGAGTTGAAGCCAATCTCCTCCGTCCTGTTTTCAAACCAAAGCTGCCCACCGCCCTCTGGACTCTCAGTGCAGCCGAGCAGAACAGGAGTCTGCCGTGTCCCACCCTCTGGGCTGAGCCAAGGCCTCCGGCCACTGCCGGCAGGAGGGAGAGGGACTCCGGGGCAGGGAGGCCACACAGTCAGCAAGAAAGCGGCATCCCGAGGAGGCCAGCAAGCCCCTGCCAGGCTCTGCATCAGCCATGTGGCACAGGTGCCACCCAAGCAGTTCTGATTCTCAGATGCTGCTGGTTGCAACCGGCTGCCCACGTCTTGCCTCTGAGACCAGGGGCACTGAACCACCACGAGAGCCAAGCCAGGGCAGCAGCAGTGACCTTCGACTCGTTTCGGCAAGATGAGTTACACAAGAGCCTGTCAGCCAGCACATAAACCGATTGAGCTGAGCTTATGTCGTTTTAATCCAAGCTTCTTGGGTGCTTTATGTGGTAGTGAGTGCTTAAAAACCAACTCCCCTCCACACCTAGAATACAGCAGGAGCTTTGGTGAGGGAGTTTGAGCCTGGGGAGATGCTGGCTCCCTCCCTGGAGAAGGCATGCAGAATGGGTAGGAGAAAGAGGGCAGAGCAGCCCTACTACTTCTTGAAGAGTCAGGAGCCAAAAGCAGGCTTCCCCCATGCTGCAGAGCAAGGTCACTGCCCCCACTCAGCACTGGGGGGGCCACGGAGGACTCGCAACTAGCAGCAGCTACTTAAAACAACAACAGAACTGTTGTAGGCCCCCAGGAAGCCCTGGAGGATGCCACCTTGGGAAGGCCACAGAATGCAGCCCCAGCACCCACAGCACTGGCAGAGACGAGACAGCTACTTGAGCAGAGCTGACAATGGAGAGCTACTGGGCACGGCCAGAGGACCGGGCTCCACGCAGTGCTGTCAGCCCTTCCCAGTTTCCATGGGCAAATGGGGCCCAGCACTGGGGCAGGTGAATCATGCACGAGCTACAGGGACGCCGGGGCAGCGAGGAAGCCCGGTGCCTTACATGGAGCGCCTCGGCCACGCGGTGGTACTTGGTCTCCTCTGCTGTGAGGCCCTTGTGGGGAGTGTATCCAGCATCAGTCAGCCCTGCCTGCTGCTCAAAGCGCTGCATGCTCTCCTGAGTCTGCTCTAGAACGGACGAAACAACACATTCACACACGGCCGCAGAGAAGCAGCACGAGGGCAGCAGGAGCCATCCCAGCACCAGGGCTTCGGCTCTCCACGACCGAACGTTGCAGCATCACCACCTGCTGCCTCTGCGCTGAACAGGGCACAAGACACCCACATCGCCCGAGTTCTTATCGCATCAGACACCAGCAACCAGACTGCCCCAAAATCACAACCCCCTGAAATAACAGCCCCAGAAACGTCAGACTGGGCTCAGAATTCCCTTCCAGGGACCCCAGATATTAAGGTACCTGCCGAGAACAAGCCCAGTTTACACCAGTGACTGGGTGAGCTCTCCTGGAACAGACACACCATGTGCTTGAAGACAGTTCTTCCCTGGCTTATAAGGGGGAGAGGCTGGCTGACAACACCGGCCTCCTTTCCTGGCAAACAAGGCTTCTAGCATCGCAGCCGCTGGGGTATGTTACGACTCCAGCCTGGGTGCGATTTCATCCTCACAGAAGCTGCTCTCGGCCACCACCTGCGTCGGCCTGGTCAGATACTCGGCCATGCTCATGTTCTAGGGCATCAGGTTTCTGACAAGGCTCCAGGTGCTCTTCAGGGAGCTTCCTGATGCCAAGACCCATGGGATGGGGTGCCGAGCGTTCAGCCTCCAGCATCAGAGACAGGAGGTGGCGTGGGCAGGCCAGCACAGCCCTGGACCTGGCTCAGTACTGACTCCTCTGCAGCACTAGCATTGCTCTCCCAGGGGGCTTCAAGGGGCAATGTCTCACCACCCCCCGACAGCCGCAGCTGCCAACGAACATGACAGTGCCTGCAAGTGCCACACACAGACTCCAGTAGCTGGACGGGTCGGTATTCCCCGTCTCACTGGTTCCACCTAGAGCCATGCTGACAGGTCAGCAAACACGGCCGAGCTGGGAGCACCAGCCCCTGACATACAACCACTACAGCCCAGGATGCATGTGAAAGCTTGCTTCCCTACTCCTCCCTCTCCACCCCAGGCCCAACCCACTGCAGCGGGGGAGTCAGATTTCTGCCTCCAGCCCCTGATTGAGGGTGGGTTCTAGCCTAGGTCTATTAACACCTCCCCCAGCCTTGGGAGTGCGTCACATTAACAAACCATGCAGTTAAGTCTGTGTGACACCAGCCGGAAAACGCCTGCTCGCACAGGCGGCAGAGCCGCGCAACACAAACCCAGTGTTCGCCCCCGCCCCACCGCCCTGTGCTCACCTATTAGGGACTGAAGAGCTCTTACTTGTAATGAGAGAATTCATGATGATGTAAGTGGCCTTGGCCTTCACCACAGGGGCCTTGTTCACACTCTCAGTAGAAGATGAAGGGGTTATGGCAGGCGGGTAGCTGTTAGTCTCCCCTTCCTCAACCTGCGCAGAGTAAGTGGGGTAGAGCGAGACAGAAGGGAGGGAGTTAGCTCTGGAGTGCCACCCCCTTCCCGCCATCCTTATTAGGAGCGGTCCTGCAGCAATTACGGTCACACATGCAAGAAAGCCAAGAGCTGTAAGTTGTGGCTTGGGCTGCAGTGAGAGACACACTGACATGCTTATAACAGGAGCCCGCAGCTTGCTTTACACAATAAAACCAACTCCTGGGCAGTCCTGGCAGGGTGCCAGCCTGAACAGAAACGGGTATGCAGGAGGATACCAGCACAGACCCCTTCCTACCTCCTTGCCGAGGGCAGCAGACAGGCCCTCGCTGCCCCTGGGGAAGGGTTTCCTCCTGAGGGGCACTTCTTCAGGGACTGTGCCAGAGCTAGTCAAGCAGCACCAACCCAAACTGGCACCAGGGCTAAGCTCCGAGCACCCCAGTGCTGCCACTGCTCCTGCCCCTACTCCAGTACCTTGCCTTATTAGGTACCCAACCTGAACCACAGCTCCACCATTTTAAGCCAGAGTCTAGTGACTGGGTCTGCTGGATTCTCACTGGTTAACTCAGGAAACGGGAGCCCTTTGGAACGGATACCCAGGTATCCCTTCATATGGCTCCTCCCAGAGCTGCACACTTGTTTCTGCTACAATTAATTGCTCAAAACATCCCTGGAAGTGACCATCAGCTGGGTAGCAGATGCCTGGACACTTATTCCAAACTAGAGAGCACTTTGGGCCAGTTTAGTTAACCCTGGAACTGGTGCAAACTGCAACCTGTGCCCAAGTCAGAGTGTCCAGAGAGCCTTGTGCACTGGTTAAACATTGAAGCATGGGGGCTTCGGTTCATGTCGCTTGGACAGCCCTCGCCGAGGAGGAGCCTTTTTGAAAGGCTTCTCTATGGCTCGAAAGGACATGGGCACACTGAGACTGCAGCTGCCTTGAAGGGGCAGACAAGTCCCTGCCCAAGGCACGGGCAGAAGCGTCAGCTCTGGTGGCAAACTGCAGCTGCTGTTTAGAGAAGAGCCGTTTGCTCGTCTCTGGCATCTACAAGCAAGTGCTAGGACAGGCATCAAAGGCCTCGACTCCTCACCAGCATCACGCCGAGCTCTGGCGAGGCCACCGCCTCGCTCGCTTTTCACTAGTCTCCCAGACTGGAATTCAGTTCCTAACATCTCCTGCCTATTTTAACGGGTTGCAAGCGTCTAGCGTTCACCCACTTTGGCAGCTCAGCTGTAGACAGGAGCTGGACACTCAGCTCCAAAGAGCTCCCGTTTCTTTCCCGGAGAGTCCAGCCGCCCCCTCCCTAGCAGCTCCTCACCCACTCGAGAGCATACCTGCGACAGCTCCTGGTACTTGCGCTCTGGGATGACTGGCTGTTTCCACAGGACATTGGAGCCCATATCTGAAGGGGGAGGAGTCATCGGTGCCGTGTCCTCCAGGGCATCGTCATAACTGAAAGCCCGCCGGTGCATCCCGATCGGCAGGGACATCTTTCCTAGAAGCCCTCCAGAGCTGTGCTCAATAGCTAAGGACAGAGAGGGCAGCTTTCACAAGGGAACATGCCTGGGACATTTCACACGCCGACTCGGTAGGAACGCTTGTTCTTGCGGCCTCTCACTGCAGCAATGCACGGCGCAGCAACATCTCCCACAGCGCCACGTGCCTCACCAAGGACCTAGAGAACCGGGAGCATCTGCAGCCAAGAGACTGTTACCAGGGAAATGTAAAATCGCAAGGAAAGTCTCAGGTGGATCCCAAGTCATCCCTAGTGCGAGTTACAGGTTTCTTGTTCTTAATTTGCCATGAGGCTGCCCGGGGATAAGGCCGCAGAAGTTCCCGGGAACTCTGTGCCCCTTCGCAAGATGCCAGAAGACATTTTGGACTAGCCTCTCTCCAACCACAGATGGGAGACTTCGGTCCTACGAGCACAAGACAACCGCAACTGCTTTGCATCCAGTTCGAGGTGCCGAAAGCCAACAGAAGCAACAATCCTTCCAGCAACTATGATTTAGGCCCCGATCTACAAAGAGCTCACCAACAGCTACCAAAAATCCTGCCACTGAACAGGAGCCCCAAATCTCACCCGAGACAGAGAAGCAGGGTGTCCCCACACACAGCACAGGAGCTCACACAGGAAGACAACACTGGTGCGCTGGGAGCCGGGCGACAGCGCTGCCAGTCGCACTGCCGACACTCGGGAGCCCGTTCCTCATCTCGGGAGAAGCCCCGTCACACGAGCCCACGACTGCTTTACACCCCCGTGAGAGCGGCCGAGCAGACAAGCCCAGTGCACGCGCGAGTGCCAGTAAAGGTAGGTATTATTTTCGCGCACGAGCAAGGAGAAGCCGACATTGGGTGTTTTAGTCACCAGGCCACACACAGTCTCCCGGCAGTGCCCAGGGCTGTGGCAGAGTTGGGCCCCCCCGCGGGCTCTGCCCCCAAGCGCCCGCGGGCCATGCCCTGCCGCCGGCTCCAAGCTCTCCAGAGCCGCTCGGTACAACCGGCTGACACGGACAACAGCCGTCATGCAACTGTGGCTCATCAGGCTGCGGGAACAACAGGCAATTGCCAATCAGCACGGTTTTAACCCCAAGCGCTCAAATGCAGAGCCCCAAGCGTCCCGTCTAGGGCAGGGACGGCGACGGGGACAGCCCGGGCCAACCCGCGCGCCACCGCGGACACCGGAACATTACCGGGAACGTCGGGCCGCCGGGACGCCATGGCCGCGCGCTGCTCCACGGGAGGTCCTGCCGCGACACGACGAGAGGAGACGAGACGCGGCGTCACCTGGGAAGGCAAAGAGCATTGGCAGAGACGGCGCGCCCCGGCTGGGAGCTCCCCCTTGCTTCTCCGCCGCGGACAAGGACAGCAGCCATGCGGCCCGCCTCCCCCGGGAACCTCCTGTGGGTCCCTGCACAGGTCGTGGGGGCAGAGATATGACATCAGAGAGCTGGTGCTCCAAGGGCACTGGAGTGCGCCAGCGGCCAGGATGCGGCCCTGGCACAGCAAAGGGGGGGCATGACGTCACCAGGCCCCCAGTGGAACCCTCCTGTGGCGTCCTACTGGGGGATATGACGCCACCGGCATGACATCACAAGCCTGGCACTCCGACCTAAGGGACCGGAGCACCCCGGCACAGCGAGGGGGATATGACGTCACCAACATGACGACACGAGCACGGCGAGGAGGAAGGACGTCGGCAGGCCCCGGGCGGCCGGGCCCGGGACACTGCACTTACCGGGCCAGCGCAGCAGCGGTCCCGCGGGGGCGGCGGGGCGCCAAGGCCGCCATGGAGCCGCGTCCGGCGCGACTGCCCGGCCCGGAAGGGGCGGAGCGGCTTATGTGGAGGCGGAAGTCTCGCGGGGCTTCCACCTCCCGCGAGACCCGAGGGGTGCTGGGAGCTGTAGTCCAGGCGGGGGCGCAGCGCGCAGGCCTCGCTGTCAGACACGAGGGCTGGGAGGGAGCTGGTGAGATCCTGGGCCCAGCCCCTGCGCCAGGCCCCGGGCACCCCGGGCCCCCAGAAGCCCCCCAGGAAGGGAGGTCGCCGAGAAAGCAGTGATGAAGGAGACTGACACGATGGAGCTACGGTCTGACCCGGTCAGGGCAGTTATGCTCCCCCCAAACCTCCCTCCTTGCTGCGCGGGCAAAGCCACTGACCCGTGGCTCCACGCGTCTCAGCCGGGGGTACTTCTACTGGAGCTGCCACCCGAGCTGTGCCCACGAGCTGGTGTTCGTGGCGGACTCGGACAGGCTGTGGCTCCGCGCCGCGCGGCAGGAGCTGCACGGGCTGTTGGCCCAGGCTCCGCCGCTGCCCCTGTGCTGCCTGACAAGCAGGTGCTCGGCCCCGCTAGAAGCTGGGGGAGACGGATAGGCCTCAGGGCAGGGGCGTTCAGACTCACCCCGTCCCTACTGCCCTGGCACCAGGAGCCAAAGCCCAGTCCCCACCGTGCAGGCAGGAAGCACATGTCGGGGACTGGGAGAGGGTACTGGGGGGCAGACGGCAGAGCTCAGCTCAGGCAGCTCAACCCCATGCCCCGGAAGGATTTAGAACTCCTTGAATCCCCAGTCCTCTCTTGCACCAAGTACCTGCCCGGCTTGGCTGGGATCCGGGCACTCTCAGACCACAAGGAAAGGGCTGCACTGTGCGATCAGTGACATGACCAGGGGAGCTGGGCACTGCCGTTCCCCCCCTGCCACTCTGGGTTCCCCCTAGGACAAGCACGATGCCCTGAGTGCGAGCCAGCGGGAGCTCTTCGTCCTGCCCATGACCACCACCCACACCAGGCTGCTCAGCCGCTAGCACTCTCCACATCCAGCACCCGCTGGTCCAGCTGTTCTCCTAGCTCTGAAGCACGGAGGGCCCAGGGGGCAAACTGGGGCTGCAGGACTCCTGCCCCCGCCCCTGCCCATAAGGCTGCCAACCCAGGCCTGGGCACAAGGACCAAGATTGCTTGATTTGCACAGTCAGGGTCAAAGCCCCCTATCCCATGGTGCTAAGTGAAAGCAGGTGCTGTCACATGCTCCATCCCTGCAGCTCCCCGCCCAGTCCACAGGCAGCGCCCGCTCATCTGGTAGATTCGTGCCACTGAGCTCCTGGGGTGCCTGTCCCCCAGCTGCACGCTGCTCACATTGCCTGGACTGCTGCAGGGCAGGAGATGGGACTGGCCCTCAGCACTGAGGACGATGGGGCAGAGACAGGTGGAGGGGTTTTCATCTCAGTCATTCCACTGGTCAGCAGGGCCTGCGAGGCTTCCCTGGCCCAGCAACAAGGGTGTGCCGTGCTCCCCGCCAGGCAAAGGGAGAATCCTCCCCAGCAGTGCCAGCTGCGCAGTCTGATTCCCCAGCTCCCTGCCCCTCTCCCACACATGAGGCCAGGCTGCCCCAGCAAGTCCAGCCTGGCTGTTCAGGGCTCCAGCTGATGACAACCTGGTGATTCAGCTGCCAAACAGGAATCAGCTCCCAGTAGCCAGCACGTGCCAGGAAGAAGGCTATTTCTTGCGCCCACTCACCTAACTACCTTGAGCCTGATTAAATGGCCAGTGCTAGTTCGGAGGACGCGTGCTGGGCTAGGCAGTTGCTCTGCTGTCCCAGCTCCTTCCCCACATGCGGCATTAGGGCAGCAACCAGGCTTCTGGGAAGACTGCAGCATTAGTTGGACGCAGGCTGGGCAGCTGGAAGCTCTTGCCATGCAGCAGTTGGAGCCAGCGGCTCCTGAGCAGGCCAATGTACGACGCTTGGCCAGTCTGTGACGCTGAGCCTTTTGCACTACATCCTGTCTAAATAAAAGACACTGCCCCTCTTGACCTTTGCTCATGTTCTGTGCAATGGAGGAGGAAGGGCCTTGTCACCTGAAAGAGGGGAAGGGGTCAGCAGCTCCCTGCCCGTCTCCTCTATCCTAGGCTGCAGGAGCAGGGAGAGCAGCAAGTCCTCTAAACCCCTCCTGCTGGGCTGCAAGAAACCCCGTGCCCCTCATTGCAGCAGCCGTGCCACCTCCAGCCACGCTGGTTTGGAAAAGCTGCTTTTATTGGAACATGGAGAGCGCAGCTATTGTCCTCTCTGCATGGGGAGCTACCAGGGCCCCCACAGCTCAAAGGCCTGCAGCACTGGTCCAGCTACTTGCTTTACTGCACGCTTGTTCCTGCTG